ATTTTTTTACTTAGGGTGTATGCTTTGTTGATGATATATCATCTTGTTAAAATTAAAGTTTTTCCGACATGAAACTCAATTTTTTAAGTTTGCATTGTGAATTTAACAGTTTTTTATATTTAAAATAAAAAATGTATATTTTAAAAAATTGAAAATATTGTTTAATTATTAAGTAAAATAATGGTATAAATACTTTTTTTTAGTTGAATTAAATTTCTATTATGATTTACATAGAAAAAACTCTTTTTTATTTGAGTACATCTAAACTAAATTGTATTTGCTTTTATTTTATAAATTGTAAACGTAAATAATACTATTTTTTTTTCACTTGTAGCCTCAATACCTCAACTAATGAGACTAACACAGCAACCATCATTCCAAAAGGATGGCCAACATCAAATGTAGGAGCACCCCACTCAAGAGGGTATGGAATCTTTATCCTGCCACAACACATTGAAGAGTCAAATAAACTTGTTATTTGTTGCATTCATGAACATGGTTATTTTCTAACAGTAAAAGTATGTCTTGAAAACAAAATCAAACATTAAAAAACATTATTCTTTGTTGTCCAATGGAATCTATGATTGTCAAAGCAGACATTATATAAAAGATATGTGAAAATAATCGAACAATAACCATAAACCTCCAAAAATTATTTTGCGTGTAAAAAAATATTAACTTTGTACCCAAAATGATAAAAAAAATTCAAATATTTAATACAAGTCAAAATCACCGAACAACAACAAGAAAAAGAAATCCAAAACAAACCACAAATACTTACAAACAATGCTTTTTCGTCTTCAATAGCGAAACTAACGGCGGAAAGCTTCAAAACTCACGTCAATGGCGGTTTCGGTGTTGAGAACGATGCTTTAAAATCAACGAAAGAAAAGGTTCTTCGAAACAACGGAACGTTCTGAATGACAACAGAGACAGCTCCACGGCGACAAACACAACTCCGGTGAACGACGGTGATTGTGGGTGAGAGGACATTCCTTATTCTCTCGTATATTCTCTCTAGGAAATGAAATTTCCAATTTTTTAAATCATTAAAATGAAACCCGCAAACTTAAAACCCTACAACCCCAAATCCTTTGCATTTCCACGTCATTTCAATTTCTTTAATCTTTTCCAACTGGACCAATCAAAACGCGACACGTGAATGGTGTCAAAAGTTTGTCAAAAAATTGTGTCAAAAGTATCACTATCTTTCTTCAAAATCTACAACACGAGTTTTGATATAGTTTTTATCAATTTATTATTTTATTAGTAAAGAATCAGGATTTTGAGTGACAGATACGAAGGCATATATTAAAAGTTTATTGCATGACATATTTATGAAACCATGCAAATAACAGAACATGATCAAAGATACTTGGTTTTCGAAGCTGAAGGCAGATTCTGAAGAAAAAAAACTTGGTTACTGAAAGAAGGTTGGTAGAAAGTTGGAAAATGGAATATGAGCATGGAAGAAGGTTGGAAACTGGAATATGAGAGAGTATACACAATTTCGTCAAAAGCAGTCATAAGGAGAGACTGACTTTTCAAATTTTCATTATTTATGAATAAATAAAGATTTAATTATTTTTTTTCTCTAATTTCATTACGGTGTGTCGAGTTGGTCTTATTTTTTAAAAAAATTTCAATTTCGTTCATAACTGATAAAATTTTCCTCAAATCCCTTCATTTTCTTCTCTCTCTCCTACGCGCGAGATAGAAGGAATTCTTTCTCTTTCTTTGACACAGACAAAGAAAAAATATTTTCTTTAAAACATATCAATCAGCGAATTCAACATTTAAACATCAATCCTCTCACAAGCTTCAACCTGGAAAACACATTTATGCACATGGAGAGCTAGGTTGAGGTGACCAATCTTCCCACAAGCGAAAGTCACATTACCATGGTCAACCATCCGACGCAAATCCCCACCTCTTCATATCAAGGCCACTTATTACAGCATTCCATAATAACATCAACCATGGCGCTGTCTTCTTTGTTGTTCCTCTCCTCTTACTTTTTTGTTTCCTTTGTATTCATACTTTCCAGTCTCAAGTTCCTTTTGGGAAGCAGAAGAGTGAGGAATCTGCCACCGGGGCCCACTCCTCTACCCATAATAGGAAACCTCAACCTCCTCGAACAACCCATCCACAGCTTTTTTCAACGAACTTCCGACCACCACTACGGGAAAATCATCTCCCTCTGGTTTGGTTTCCGTCGGCTCCTGTTCCCACGGTGACCACTAGCACAACCTCTGCCGCATCACCGCACTCGACATTCTCTCCACCCAGCGAGTCCACTCTTTCTCTGGAATCCGAAGCGACGAAACCAGGCGGTTGATTCGCAGGCTGGCTAGGAACACGCGCCAGGGTTTTGCTCGCGTGGAGATAACTTCCATGTTCAACGACTTGACCTACAATAACGTGATGAGGATGATATCCGGAAAGAGATTTTACGGAGAGGAGACTTACATGAAGGACATGGAGGAAGCCTGGGAGTTCAAAGAAACCGTGGCGGAGATGCTGCAACTCATGGGCTTGGCTTTTGCACCAAAGTAGGCAAATATGCCTCTAATATTACCAAAATAGGCAAATTCAAATCATATTACGAAAATGGGGAAGTCGTGGGGGGTCCAAACGACTTCAATTGAAGAAGTCGTGCCCCCCTGCACGACTTCACACTGTTGATATAAACAGTGTTGTCGTGCACTCCAAAAACGACTTTTGACGACGGTAATCGATTACAACGTAACGGTAATCGATTACAGAGTGTTGAAATCGTGACCACCCTACACGACGCCCGGGCGCGAGCTTCTCGCAAAAACTGGCGCCCGGCGTCCCTCTTTTAGTTGGACGAGCGTCCTCTCTTGTGTCCACAGGGCGAGCGTTCTCTTCTCGTTGGACGAGCGTCCTCTCGTGCGTCTTCGCTGGACGAGCGTCCACATCTGCTTGCAAGACGAGCGTCCACTGCGCGTCTTTGCTGGACGAGCGTCCTCTTCTGCTCGCTTGATGAGCGTCCACTGCTCGCTCAGAGCGCAGAGTGCTTCTTGCTACACAATCAAGCTGGTAATCGATTACCGAAATGTCGTAATCGATTACCAGTACATTTTCTGCCTGGTCACCATTTCACACTCTGTAATCGATTACCAAATCAATGTAATCGATTACAGGATCCAGAAGTCGTTTTTGGGGTGCACGACTTCAACACTGTACCTATGAACAGTGTAAAGTCGTGCAGGGGGGCACGACTTCTTCTTTTGAAGTCGTTTTGGCCCTCCACGACTTCACTTTCGGTCAAATTTTGCTTATTTTGGTAATAAGAAGGCATATTTGTCTACTTTGGTGCAAAAGCCCATGGGCTTCGATAAGAAGGCCAATTAGTTTCTTAAAATTCTTTATTAAAATATATTTTAAAATTTGAGAAATTAACATGTGAATTACAAATTATTGAAATATATGTCTTAAAATACTGTTATATTAAAACAAAAACCATAAGAACATTTTACAAAGATACTATAATTTAGTTGCGTAAAGTAAAACAAGATCCAATCAATATACTGGTGATTATAAGTTTTATTCACCAAAACTACTAAAAAACTTAATTTAATTATTTTATTCTCAACGTAAATTTAAATAAGTTACTGATTATATTTGGTTGATTTAATTATTTTATTCTCAACGTAAATTTAAATAAGTTACTGATTATATTTGGTTGACAAGTTTGGTAGAAGAAAATTCTTTTTGGAAGATTCAATGGTCAAAGACGAGAGAAAGAGAGAAAAAATTCACTTTCTGTCACACAGAAGAGAAGAAAATACAGAAACTTTTTTTAAAAGTACGAACAGAATTGAAATTTTTTTAAAAGGTAAGTGAAATTAAGAACAATGCAAGCAATTAAACTATAAATAAACTATATTTATAACTTTTCACTTTTCATTTATGAATAAAAAACTGAAGTCATAATGTCAAAATGTCTAACGAGATTTAAACTGCAGTCATGATAAATAATAAATAATGGATATTTATAACTTTTCACTTTTTTGATATAATTTATATTGAGCTAAAACTCTGAATTTTAGAGTGTAACTGAGTGGGTTAAAACTCAATGGACAAGCAAATTATGAATAGTAACATAAAATTTTCGACAACCTTTATAAAAAAATTTCATTATCTATGAATATATGAAGTTATGAATAAATAAACTATATTTATAACTTTTCACTTTTCATTTATGAATAAAAAATAGAAGTCATAATGTAAAAATGTGTAACGATATTTACATTGTAGTCATGATAAATAAATGATATTTATAACTTTTCACTTTTGATATAATTTATATTGGACTAAAACTGTGATTTTTAGGGTGTAGCTCAGTGGGCTAAAACTCAATGGGCAAGCAAACTATGAATAGCAAAAGAAAATTTTCGACAACCTCAACTAATATGTTCCAATATATATGCCCCAAAAAAATATTAATTGTATACAACAGAGATGAGCCAGCAAAGTAGATTGAATACCAGTATGAAGTCTAACACACAGTCAATTGCATCCAAAACATAGATACAAATCCAACAGAAAGTACAATACATAAATCCACAATAAACATTAAATAATAGATTTCAAACAGTTCCAAATTACATCACTCATTTCTCAATTTTGATATTTTTCTTCCTAAAGGTCTTCAATGGTAACTAATCCTTTGGTACTTCCGAAGTAGTAGAACAATCTCTTTTTCAATAATAAGTGATGTGGTGGAGGTTAACACATTTTTTTTATAATATTTTAATGCTATATATATCTTATTTTTTTCATCTAATGTAAATATTATAATAAATAAATAATGAATCAATATATATTATAATTTTTTTTTTGTCAAAAATATCTTTTTCCATAAGGTCGCATTGTCACCTGAATTATATTACTATAAGAAAAACCAAAAACAAAAAGATAGGTTAGACATCGAGAAAGGTAAGTTTTGGGTCATGGGTCGGCCCACGAAGCGTGGTACAGCTGTTGTGTAATCGCAACTGGTACAAATATGCATATATGAAATGTTTTGGGATGTGAATTCGAATTGAAGTACATGGCCTCGTTAGTCCCTTCTTCTTCCATTTTCCGACCAACATTGGTTCGGTGCACCAACGAGCGCCGGGCGCTGTTTAATCGCATTGCTCCTGTCTATGATAACGTGCGCCACTATTCTTTTCTTCCTTTCTTCTATTAGCTAATTTATAACTTACGCTGTTTCTCTGTATGTTTTTGAACAGCTGAATGACTTGCTGAGCCTTGGGCAACACCGGATTTGGAAGCGAATGGCGGTGTCGTGGACTGGGTATTCCTCTTTCTTCGTTTTTAGCCTCGGCAGTTTCTTCAAAATATTGTAACAATTGTATTTTCATTTCTTAATTGGGTGTTTGTATGAATTTGGACACAGTGCGAAATTGGGAGATCGTGTGTTGGATGTCTGCTGCGGAAGTGGGGATTTGTCATTTCTCTTGTCCGACAAAGTAGGCTGTGATGGCAAGGTGTTTGATTTTAGTTTCACATATTTCAGTTGCTTTCCTACGAATAGCAAGGGCTTTGAATTCCTGAGAGAGAGAGAGAGAGAGAGGAAAAACATAAAAAAAAATTGATTTCTTTATAAAATCATAAACTAAGTTAAAATAAAAATTTGGAAAAGATATAGGGAAGACTGCATATACTTGCAGAGTTTATTTATATATATATATATATATATATATATATATATATATAT